TTGCAGGCAAAGGGCTGAATTACTCACTAAATACACACATATTATAACAGTGTTATTTTATAAGAATTTTATAAAAGTCCTTCCTTCTCAGATGAGAACATGGGTTCTTTGAGGTAGACATAGCCTCCTSTYGCAGCCATTATTTGGCTCATTCCCAGGWCGGGAGAGTCCTGGGAACAAGCCTTATAATGGCTCCAAGAGKAGACTAAGGYAGATATCACCAAGATAAAAATCAYGTATCRTACTCTTCATCCATYCATACCTGTTCCATTTGAGGCTTGTCAAAGGAAGTTCAGTAGAGATGGAACTTGTCAGTTCAAGTTGATTGTTGTGACATGTWGCACCTTGTAACCTTAGACCTGCATAACAAAYCAACATCAATTGATCTGATTGGCTGAAACATAAATGACCTCTAACACATGTGTTCTTTGACTGGTTGATATAAAAACCTTGTGTACTTATTATTATAAGAATTAAAGTAATATTTCACCTGTGACTCCAAAGCTGCAATCATCCATCTTAAGCTTATCATCAGGACCATTAGCAATGGTGACCTTGTTATTATTAAATTAAAATGCAATGTAAGCTCCAACATGACATGACACTAACACTAGTTTTAAGTTCAAAACAATGGTTATTCAGATGTTTTGATCAAGAGGATGACTTTCCTCATTTTATCTCAATGACAAGGCAGTGTTAATGTAACGCAAGGGTTCTCCACCAGGGTGTGCACACTGGTTTCCATTCTTCACCCATAATCAATATAGGACTAAATTTCACAAGTTGAAACTGGTGGTAATGATGAAAATGATGGTTATTCAGACAATTTGGTCAAGAAGATGATCTTCTTCATTATATCTAAGGGTTCTCCACCAGTTTCCCTTCTTCACCAATAATCAATATATGAGTTCCCAAGTTGAAACTGGCATGTGTCATGTTTATGAAGATCACAAGCCAACTAAGAGAAGTGAACGCACGAAAAAAATGTTCAATACCTCCAAAGCTAGTTCCTCAAGGGACCAATTGTTGGCCTGTGCAACATACTGACGCGATGCGGTAATGTATGCCTCGGGTACAAACATGCCACCAAGCCAAATATGAAGATTCTGCAACAAGACATCAAACACATCACTTGGTTCTTACACATCATTTTTTGGATTTCAAAAATAACTATTRCATTTGAATCAATTTATTACCTTGAGGCCCTTTGAGCCACCAGAGTTTGCGGCTTGGGATATTGCCTGTAGCTGTTTGATGCGAGCACTGAAATCAACAACCCACTGRAGAACAGTAAGTTCCTTGGGGACAGTATAGCGACGCCAATCAACAGGCAGGATTCCTGTGCAAATTGTTCAAATAAAGTAGTAAATACATGCCAAGAAGACTGATTGATAACTGCAAGCCAATTCAGAGTTTAGCAAGAATAGCTTCCTATGGTTGTTGAGACAATTATGAACATGCCAATGACAAAGACAGCAATAAAGCAATGCTCTTATCTAAGCACACTGAATACTTTTCAGATTTTTCACTTTTAAAATACTAATAATTACAGATCTTTATTTGCACACAAGTTAAACCTAAAGAGTAAAATKGAGTACTAACCTTTAGCTAAGTCACTCATAAGTTTACGCAGGTAGTTGGTAGGTTTCTTCTGAGCTTCACACACCAAGATAGTATCATTAAGGCTTTGCCTGACAGTGTTGAGCAAAGAAATTCCAGCATTGACTTCTCTTTCAAAGTATCTGAACAGAGGATCTTTGATGTTCTCCATTGTTCTTTTGAGTGGGTTGAGAATCTGAAAACAATGAATTATTCTGTGATTAAAAGTTCCGTTATTGGCAGTATTTTAGAGACTTTTTTGTAGTCCTTCAGAGACCCCAAGGCAGAGAGATTCCAGTGTGCAGAAGTACTCTTAAAGGAAGCTTACCTTAGGAATCATTCCCAGCCAGTTTGCTCCAGTGGAGTGCAATGTTCTCATCCATTGAGGACGTGGATCACTCTCACGTCTTTTCTGCCTGTAAATTAAATAATTAATAGAATAATTACTTTATTACCTTACTATAGCTCAATGGATGCATGTGTGAAAAACAGGAATTCATAGACCTATCCCATACTCGCTTGGATGAACACAAAACAATAGCTGTAGTTCAAGACCAGAGTTTTCAACAAAAGCTAAAACTCCTGTCTTGATTTGAAGCGATTGTTTTGTGTTCATCCGAGCGAATGTAGAAAAGGTCTTTTAATATCCTGAAATATACCACAAGTTTAACCACTTAATACCCCTTCTAGTGAATACTGTTTTCTGTGTTTATTTTCATGTTTATTTTTWAAAAATCCTTGATTTACAGTGTCGTAACTTACTCATCCAGCTGACCTTTGGTTAGTGATGTCGGTACGTCAAACAGTTCRGGCGGTCTTTAAATAAACGTAGTGTATCTACTGGTCAGTTTATGTTCACAGAAAAGGTTTGAAAAGAACCAGCAACGTAGAATTATGGTAGGTTTTTTATTGTTAAAAAGATTCAAGCTGTTACGGCAATAGTTTAAGGTCTTTGAAAAGTGTATTACAAGAGTCAGGCAAGAATTTGAGAGTTTTAAATACATGTTTAATA